CCCTAGTCCCCGGCAGGAAGTGGTTAATCATAAGCTGGACTCAGTGCCAGGTTTGGGTGCTTAAGGCAGTGCTAGGGTTCAGTTTGACATTGTTGCATCTCAACATGGTCGCCCAATCCAGAGTTGCTGTCCAGTAAATCATACGTTCAGTCCGCCAGTCCTAGAGTGACAGGGTAACCAGTGCCAAAGGACTGAAAGGAATGCCCTTGTTACACTGAAATTGCACGTGACTGGATTTGAGACTGCCTGACATGTGATTCATTTGTGGCGTGCAGTTTAGGATTAGTTTTAATGACTTGACTTTAGCTGCTCCCTGTGTCTGTTCAACTTCACCTGTGTGATAACTCCACTGCTGATGTGAAAGTCGCATTTACTTTAACAAGAGTAGCATGTCATATGGCAAATACCACATGATGTATTGTGCTAGTTGTATTTTCCTCAAACAGTAATGGTCCTTTGTTGAAATTGGTCTATTTAGGAAATTTGCTTGTAATTCTTCACAGCCTTTCATACTGTACGTGTAGACGTGGTTTTGAATCCCTGCTTATGATTTTCGTTTCATTGCAGTGAGTATTGACGGAATTGAACTCACCAGGGTCAAGTTCTTCCAGCTCTCGGCCCAGTGGCAAACCCGCATCAAGCATTTCCCGGTGGCGCTCTTTGCTCAGGACTTACCAGCTTGCTGATGAACAAGACACTTGCGGCGTTGCAGTCGGAGAAATGACTATGTCGTGGCGTCAGGTTTTTGTTCTGGATTGGCAGACGACCCAGGATGCTGGACTATCACTGCCAGTTTTGAGATAAGGAAATCGTTCTGATGACCGTTGCTGTATATTAGTCTCCTACTGCTGTGCAGGAAGTCGAGCGTTCACTACTTGCCTCCACCCGATGACTGATTGGGTTGAGTTGGCATGCCTGATGGAAGTGTACAGTGACTGCAATCTGCAGATTTGGCAGGCAATATGGGCGTTTAGCCCTGGTGTCTGCGTCTTGGAGCGATGGTGTGCTGTACAGATATGCCAATGCTTGTTCTGATTGTAATGTAACTGCTGCTAGAACACACACCTGCCACTGCAGATCAACAGACTAGAAGTTAGAATGAAACAAAGCAGGGTTTTCTATATAAGTATTGATGTCACTGTCAAACAATCTGTCTTCAAACTGCATTTTTGATCATTATGTTGGGTTCTGATCTGCCCAAGGGAAAGACGGCATGTTGTTGTTTTGGCACAAAGCCGAAAAAAAGACAACTTATGAATTACATGTACCGGATCTACCCAGCTAGAATTTGTAAATTCCGATGGAGGCTTTTAGTGCCTCGCCACTGTCCAGCTCCCTTTTGATCCTACAATTGCTGGAGGCCACAGCTTACAGACTCATTAGTTTGACCCGAGAGGAAAGTCTTCTACTTTGCAACATAGGCGGGCGGTGGGGCTTCCTACACGATCCAAAGCACAGATGCCAGTGGTGGTACCTTTCCACCCCACCCCTTTGCAGGTTTCTTATTCCCAAGATATCAGCCTTCCCTGCGAGGGGGGTCAAGCAGTGGCCCCGAAAATCAATTTTGACTAACAAGAGGCAAATTAAGCTGTGAACAAATGTCGGCGTTTCTCCGCAGGGAGATATTTTTCTTGTATTTCTCAATGTGTGCGGTACTTGTTCTGCTCCCGTTTTAACAGTAATTTGGGCGGTTGCAATGAAATTAAGGTGTAAAAGTGTTGCAGGAAAAAAAAATTTAATGCATGGAAAGCTAACCTGTGTTCAGGCCTTCGGAGTGGTGCAGCGTCTGGCGTTGTGTGTTGACACTGAAAAGTCATTTTGTGCTCGTTGAAAGTTTGTTGTTGTTGAAATGTCCTGGATATGGGTGACGTTACTGCCAAAGATTAGTGGTTCACTGAGAGGATTGGTTGAATGAATGATGTTCACTAATCCAGTGTTAAGGGTTGTGCAATCACGTTTATTGTTAATTGTACACAAATTATAGTCTTCACTGAATATTAGTCAAACTAAATGTACATTTTGAAAGATGTAACAAGGTTTAATGAGGCTTACACTATAGCTTGTGTGAACCTTATATTTTGTGCTCACTTCAACAAAAAAGACGTTCGTCTTTTGTTCTGCTAAATAAGATCAGAAAAGTTACCCATTCCAAAGAGAGTGATACATGTACCGGATGGGTGTAAATACATTTTTACACCCATGTATAGAACTGACTGTTTATGGTATATCCAACTGCCAAGAGTGCTGAAACTTGATGTTCACGTCTTGTTTGCAGTTCCTGCGAATCCACTTCAGTTTAAAAGATAATTTCAGCAGTTTTCTAGCTTGATTTGTCAGTGAGAGCAATGGAGTTCATTTTCTCATGGCCAGAGGGGCCAGAGGGGTTGGAGTGGCTCTACATGGATGCCAGAAAATTGCATCATTTCCAACTACCCTGCTCCTCTTCCATGCTCCTCTCCGTTTTGAAGACCTGTCAAGTGTAAAGGCTAGTTTGTTGTAGTGTGGGAAGGCTCAGTCGAGTCCCTTTTTAATGCAGACACTATCAAAGGGCAGGCATTCTGCACACCAGTTTCGCCTTCCTCGTTTTGTGCATAGTTCCATATTCCCTGAGGTGCCCCCAGCTGAACTGCAAGAGAGCTGCAGAGCGCCCCAAGATGTCCCCTCAAAAACCATACAATCCTGGGGGGGACTGAATTGTTGGGGACACACTAGAGTCACTGCAGTGTGGTCCAAAATGCCTTTTCAAAAGAAAGTGTCCCCCTGAACTTGGTTTCAGCCTGCCAAAAAAGCCCACCAAAGCATTGATACCTAGCTACTACCGATAACCTGCACTTTCAGCTGTCCTAAGAGGGACGAAATTTGACAGAATTCTTAAATCCAATTGAAGTATCTAAAAACCAAGATTTTATGCATGTTGTTTAAGGGTATACTGTGAGCATAAAACACAGCACACTGAGTAAAGCACATAGTTACAAAGGTGGTAATCGTTAATGGATTTATCTTAATGAAGTTTTGTTGTTGCTTAACTGCAAACGTTCCAAACTTTTATTTGGAAAAAGTCTCTAGCCTGCATTTTCCTCTGAACATTAAACCGTGCTCTCCACCCATCGAGTGTATCCAGCTGCATCATTGTAAATCTTCAGTGAGTGGCATCTCATCTTGTTGAGAGTGTTTTGCCAGTACATAAGGTTTTGGCATCTTGACGTACTACAGTTGTGTGTGGTTAGCTGACAGTGCCCTGGTCTCTGTGAAGAGAAATACGATGGTGCTGCAACATAACCCAACGATGGCTCTCAGCTTTCCTAGTGTGGAAGATGAATGGGCCAAGAGGACATTTTAAAAAAGATATATAATAGACCGATTGCGCCCGCTAAGTTATGTAACCTATAGTGGATATCAAACGTCAGCAAATGTAGTGTCCCCCTCCAACAACAAAGTGTGTTGTAAGGGTTATTTTTAATATCAGAAATAAAGCCGACAATCAGTAAAATACTCAGACTTCTGATGTGCTGGACACTGTACTGAAAATCTGCATTTTTGGGGGGTAAACAACACTTCTGACATTTGCTATGGAAAGAAGCCATTTTTGTTGATGTTTGATACCCACTGTAGGTCACATGACTTAGCTGGCGCAATTGATCTATTTAGGAAAACTATTCAAGACTTTTTTATCCTGTTGAAAAGCACCCCAAAGAGTAACTTCTTTTCCCACAAGCAGTAGTTTCTAAAAGAAAGACTTTGGCCAAGACATCTCACAGGATTTGAAACATGTTATGTCACATTTAGGTTTGCCCTGGCATGCATCCTCTTCGCTGCAGGGTACAAAAATGAAGTAAAGTGGCCATTTTCTCTGGGTAGTTGCCCTCTAAAAAAAACTGAGTGATAACTCGGTCAGGTTTAGTTGCAGAGATCTCAAATATGAGATAAAGCATAATAAGACAGCTGCTTTGACAGTAGTGCAGATAAAAAGATTAAAGTGCCAATTTCTAGTCATATTTCTGGTGGGATTTCCTAACACAAGCTTCCAGTCGTGAACAATCCCGGCATACATTGGAAAGATACGTTCAGTATTGTTTTTTTTTTAATTTCACGTAGGTTGTATGATTTCCTATGACAATTATTTAAGTGCTAAGCAAGTGCTCATTATCCCCAAGATTTTTTTTCTTGTGGAAACAATTCACGTTTATTTTTTATTTTTAATGCTTTAATGATATAGAATTTGTAAAGTGGCAAATTTACTGAGTATTATAATATTGAGTAACGTTTGTACGAAAGCAGATTTGAACATGTTGTTTGGTCAACATTTTACTGATCCTACTACCTGTAGTTGTTTAAGAGAATTTCTACACGATCATATTACAAGTGTTTTTGTGACAGCACAAGGTCAAGCTGGTCTGGCCTACCGTAGAATTTAGCAGATTTTGCTGCTTGACAGTTACAGAAGACTGTCGCATAAGGATTACGACTTTCAGCTTGAAGGCAAAGTTGTGCATAATGCCTCCCCAGCTTTCTTTTGCACAGCCACCCAACCATAGGGCTTCCAGGAAATACTTCAACTGCGTCGTGCATGTGCCGTCTTGTAGACCACTTTCAAATGAACAAATTACATTGTTTTGCTGGATTAGTCCAACTTATTAGTCCAGCTAATTTTTTTTAGGTTGTATTATGACACGTATGAGGCTGTAGGGCACGAGTGTGGCATAGTTTCATTATCTGTGACTTGATGTTATACACACACTACATGTATATATACATCCAGCATCTGGTGTCTTGTCTATCCCATAGTGACGGAAGTGTGCGTGTCAACTGTTGTTGCTGCAATTTCGTACGGCTCTGGGAGAACTAAGAATGTTTGTAACGTTGAGGTTTCTATCACAATCCAACCAGGGGCTGCCATTTGCCTATAACACTGATTTGCAGCAAGACGTAATTGGTCATTTACTTATTTGGATTGTTTCTGTGAGGACGTAGGGTACATGTATTGATGTTACTCCCCAGTTTGAAATATTATCAGCCAACACACTAATAGGCCAATCCAGTGAGGCCCTCCTACTGAGCAGGCGGGTACTGAACACGTGCTCTTCTCCAGTGGCACGCTCCATGTACATATTCCAGCTGCGCGCAGCATACACGCGCGCACGCATGTCGGATGTAAATCCCGGCTGTGATTGATCGGAACACAACGGGGTGGAGCATAATGTATCGGACTCTTCGAGTTACTGATCAGTAGAAATTGACAGCTCAGTTTATTTTGGCTTCACGTTTAATGCAGGGCAGGTGTGTACATGTATATGTATGCCCTAAAAATTGTTTTTCTGGCCAAACTCATCATCGTTGGGGTGTTTTTATTTTGGCAAGCCACGGTGTCACAGAGTCTTGTGTACTTGTTTTCCTCTTTCTTTCGTGAACTGAATTTTTCTTTTTGAGGTCCACCAAATAATCTTAGCCTAACCCAGCTTCCAAAGCATTCACAAATTACACAGCTGATGTGTAGTAACATGTAATTTATAGCTTCCATTGCCAACATTTATTTCTACACTTGGTTAGTTTCTGTTTTAATCGTTTACCATAGATTTACATGTATGTTTAAATATTATGTAGCATGCAGTTCAACTCAGTTAAAATTTAAAATAAGAATGAAATGTTCACAATTTTGTTGTAATTTGATCGTAACTGATTTAACACTGAATACATGGCCTGTTGATGCCAGTTTAGCACAGCTCTTCAGGTCTATTTTGTCAGCTCTAGCCCAGATAAGCATTTTTGTCTCAACTTCATTTTCAAGCAACTCCAATTTACAATTGTCAGAGAAACAAAGATATCATTAGAATTTTGGACTTTACATGTCTTTTGAGGCAAGTTCAGAATTTGTTTAGCTCATTAATTCACACCGAGAATTAGCCAGGAATCCACTGTGAAATTTCCAGCCGATTGTTCAGGCATGAACTCAACCAAACATATTTAGTTTTGTCATTGTGTATTGTGTGCGGCCAAGGTAAATGCTTCCATCGGCTGGTTGCTTCGTTGTGTAGATATAACCATTGTCTCAAATGTCTGTACATGTATGAAATGTATTATTTATAGATAAACCAAAAGTATTTATTTTGCTACTTTATCTCATTTTGTGCATATTAGTCAGAGAAACCCAAAGCGGTCCTTGTTCTTGTACATAACATTATGTTTTCAGTGGCGCACAACTTGGTTTCGGAGTATGGCCCAGGACCAGTGTACATTACGTGTGATCAGCTGTGATGATTCATATAGTCATTCTTCTTCATGTACTTTGCTGAGCAACTCAAAGATGTTTTTCTGCCAGTTGGCTTCATTTACAGCGTGACATCAGAGTTGTAGCCATATCCTTCTGAAGTCTTTAGTCAACTCATTTGTCGAAGTCACAATTAGACAGAGGATCAACTCGGACAAATGAGTCTGTTTTGGTTTAATACATACGCTTGAATTGCCAGTGATTCTATTTGTTTGAATGGGTGGTTGCTGATAGGCTTCAGAATTTGACCAAAACACTGGTTCTCCATTTAAAAAAAAATCCCCACACAGCCCACAGAGGGCACAATTATGTTGCGGAACAAAGTAAACATTCTCAGCCGTAGTTGCGTAGAATATATGCAGAATTACAAATCATGTTGTGCAGCCCACCAAAACAACTTAGCAGTTGCTCAGCTCCATTTTAAGCTCCTACGTCTGAATGGGGAAACTTAGTCCATGGCAGATTTTGAAGCTATGTGGCCAACACTCGGAATACTCTGTACATGTAATGACATGCTTAAATGCTGGTTGGGACACTGCGCATGGCCCCATCTGGGCATGTTGATGTAGACACTGCAAGGAAAACAGCTTGCCTAGGGAAATGCAGCCTCTTTATACACAATGATAGCTGTGAATCGACAGTGTTCAAAGTTTGGTAGAAGAGCTTTTGAAATGCAAGGATCCCATAAAAAAAGGGACTTCAAGAGGTCGGGGGAGCGGAGGTGATGAGAGTGGGGCCAAAATCAGATGTAACTACTTCCCATAATCAGTTTGGAAAGGAAACATTTGGAATTTTACCCTGTGGATAATGAATTTACGCTGATGAACAAAATGCTCCAATCCATACAAAATCAGCCTATTAATGAAATGATTTGATGTTGGACTGCTGGTTTGTTGAAGTTCATTTATTCAAATGTACTCCCATGATTGTTGCAATGAGTTTTCAATGACTGCTGCTCGGGATGTTTGTATTTTGGACCCACTTTATTCTCAGTTTGGCTATGTATAATATCACTTTTCTTGGATGATAAGCTATGTATTCTTCAAAGAGCGCCTTCATGTTATAAAGTGAAACCATTTTGCCTTTGGCAACCAGTGGACTGTACGCCTTGAAATATGGCATAAAGCCGAGCTTGTAAGAATAAATGGGTGGTCCCTTGGCCGTGCAACAGTCCTAGAAAGTTGTCAAGATGGTTAGTGTAGTGGACCATGTGTCTAAAGTAATTACAAGACTGGGTTGCCATGGTCATGGGAAATCTTGAAAAATCATAGAAAACAGTTTCCTGGAAAGTCATGGAAAAGTCATGGACGTCAAGATTTGGGGTCATTTTTGACGGGCCAGTTTTGATGCAATAACAGAATGATGAATTTACAGGCTATCTATGTTAGTCTATAGTAATGGCTATGGCAGTCTTCCATTTCATCGTACCAAACATCTTTTCTCTGCAAAATGGCATTAAATGTGACGGAAATTAAATCTTTCAGTCCTGGTTAAAGCTGTCAAATTTGGTTGTCCGATTTCTGTGGGAACCCTTCTTGTTCAGAAAAGAGGTTGCTTTTTTTACTGGTTTACTCGGCAGCTAACGTTTCATAGCACAGCACATAGACATTAAGTACTTGTTAGGCCAAAGTGATACATGCAATAACTCCATACTGCAACGGTCTATGTGCAAGTTCAAATTCCATGTTTCACACACACACCTGTCAGTTTAAAACATGTAAAAGGATATTAGGTTTATGTAAAGAGAGTTCTTGGACACTGCAAACTAGTGAAATACAGTGCGGAACTCCAGCTGGAAATCACTTTTGATGTATTTTGTGTTGTGAAACTTGCATTTGAACTTGGAGTTATAAATTGGGCTGCATCTACATGTACCCTATTTACGGGGGGGGGGCAAACTTGTAAATATCGAGATGTTTTGTATTAAGTTCATGGATAGGTGTATCATTAAAGTGAACTGTAACGTTGCGGCCAGTATTGCTCAGTTCCCCGTCTTGTCATTACACACACTGATGACGATGTTGGTACGTACAGATAAAGTTGTTTTGTGCTTGAATTTTATGCACGTCTTGCCAATTTTTTTTGTACCTTGTATTATGACACAAATAAAAATGCAGGCATGTGGTCAGTGTCAGTAAACAAGTCAGTGGAAACAAACCGTTGGTGTCATCTTCAGTCCATTCATTCATGTGTCTCCTTTTTTATTATCAACACAGTTACCACTTACCAGCCAGTCTTGAGAATTACCCCTTTCCATCACAGTTTACAGAAAAAAAGGCGGATGCTACGTAACATTCACGACTTGTTACATTCAATGCCTGAATAAATCCTGTGTGTGTACGAATCACTCCAAATCTTAAATATAATGAGAACACCATAGAAGAGATAAACATAATCACCGCAGTGGATGACAAATACAGTAAAAAGATAATCGATGACTCGCGGTGTCATGTTGCTGGTAGCGACGTTTCGGCTGCTTGTGCTGCTAGCCTTCATCAGGCAACTGAAGTCTGGATGCTGCAGGGTCCGCTATATACCACTGGAACGCGTCCTCCGCGTGTCCCCCGCCGTGTATTGCGGATGCAGTACGGGCGACCTCAGCGGGCGTCGCACACTCCACTTCAAGGGCGTGAGGGGGCGTGTCCTTGGTGTGGCTCCGTTGCGCTCCGGTGCTCTGGAACACCATGATTTCATATTCTGACTTTAGGGAATAGATATGCGCGACACCATTCTTACTTGATCAGGAGAATGGACGCTAATACAGCGCCTGAGATGAAGGCCAGGGACAGTATCAGTGTCAATTATCCTCGGCCATTCTCCAAAGCTGGGTTCATACCCATCTCTGACAGAAGTACATGTACTGTGCCCATGGGTATATTCCGGGGGGGGGGGGAATAAGGCATATATCCTCTGGCTAAAATTTCCCGGGGGGGGCCACTGAATCATCCCCAACTTTTTTTGTGGTGTGAAATATTTAGGCAGATTGTGAAGAATTTTTTTTTTTATTTCCCTACAACCAAAATTGTTCAGAATTTACCCGTCATGCAGCAGTTACTCTGTGTAGCAGGGTGCACACTGTCACAGATGGAGTCTCTCTTTGGCAGTGTTCTTGTACAAATGCATTTGTAACACCTCCCACCGCCCGAGAGAACACAGATATTCAGGAGCCACTCGGTGCCATCTTGTCTTATGCAGACTATGCATGTCGACAGTGACTGGAGAGCAGAAACCGTAGTATACTTAAAACATAAAAGCCTCTTTTGCTTATGCAGAGTCTACACTCCGTACTCCAGCAATCCTACAGACTAATCCGATTGGACGCCATAACTACAGTGACACTGCACTCACATGCACATTCACATGCGCATTTGGCAAGTCATGACACCCTATTGGTCAACGGGGCATGTAACGCACGCACGCCACCTGTCTGTGTCCACTGCAGTAATGGCTTCTACTTCTGGTTATCGAATTACTCTACATGTATACAAAGTTTCATCTAGGATTGAAATGCATGTATCTGCCTGTCCCCAGCCAATTTTAAACACTTACTTAGGGATACTCATTACACTGACGCCCTTGGCGCCGTCTGAGGCCATGTTTCCCCTGCATCCAGTATTTTGGAAAGAATGCGATGCCTTGTCAAAAGGGTTGAAGATTTATGTAGAAAGGGGCTTTGTAGATTTTGAACAAGCAACAACTGCGTCTCTAAACCTATTTCTGCCTCTCCTCAGTACAGGTGGACAGATGGGTGCGCACATGAGACACTGGTCCCATAACTCGTCAGTACCACTGAGTTTCAGGGCTTGTTTTGATCCATCAAGTGCTTGTCAGGGATACAAATCGTCATGTGACCTTGACTGCCTCTACAGTTCCATCTCTACAGCCAATCAACACTTCTGGCTCTCCGTTTTTGTCCAGGTCGGCTACGGCCAGCGAGTTGATCCAGTCAGAGGCCTCGTACTGGTTCAGCAACTGCAGTCAGAAACAGGCATGGAAGTTTAATATGTTAAAGAGAGCACACACTTCAGTTCATTCTGTCATTGGATTAACTTGTGTAGCAACGTCTGATGGCATCTTTGTGATGAGAATTTTTGGGAACAAATTAGCTTCAGAGCCAATGTATAATTAGCGGCATATCAAAGTGTCCATTGATTTGATGGCTGTAACTGCAAAGAGTCCACCATGGCTATAACTGCAACAGAAGTGCTTCAGTATCTTACTGACCATCCGAGACTTTTCAAGGTAATGTCTTGTAGTCATTTTTGACACAAATCTTATGGAAATCAGACATACTATTCTGGAACTGAACAAAATTTTTTTTTCCTAAGACAGGCCAATGTAATTCCACTGGGCATGCCCAATGAACTTGCATAACATACAACAAAGTTAGAAGTTTACATCATCATACATGTATGCAAAATTATCATAATAACCACCTTTGTTAAATGGAAACTTTTCAACAGAAACTTCACCAGAGTACTTGTGATTGGGTTTCTACACGCACACCACGTTTCATAACGATTTGTCATGGGACAGCGAGAGGGGATCAAACTGCCCTTTTAATGTTAATCGCCAAACTCAACAAGTGAATGGTCTGCTTGTTAACACATCACCTTCCTGCTGTGGTACAGTGCAAGGGAGTGACTGTAACCAGCACACAACATGGAATCTAATTCGTCAGCGTGCCCTGTTGCTATGGCGCCAAGGTGCATGATGGGAAGCTGGAAATTCGCATACTCAGTTGTGTGGATCTGAAAGACACAAAATCCCAAAAGACAGTAATAATAATAATGTATTTATATAGCACTTTCAAGTTCCTGATCGCCTCTCAATAAACTTTTGATACACCTGCATCTTCTCACTGGGCCCACAAACAATCCTATAACCATCTCAACTTCCTGAGTAATGTACAACCATTTCAGGCGCTGACAAGGTTAATCAACCATACATGGCCGTCCCTGCCCGGAAAGCTACCCATTCAAGCTCCTGGATGGCGAGAGGGAAATGAAGGTAAAATGTCCTGCTCAAGGTCACAAAGTAGGCCCAAAACAGGATTCGAACTCCAACCCTTGGACTACATGTAAGTCTGCATGTGGGCTCAGTCAAGTATGCTCAGGAAGTAGTCTTATCATTCGGCTTACAGTAGGTCAGACTAGTCACGAGATCATTTTGTAATGAGAGGACAGGTTTGGATAGCAGGAATCACAACACAATGACTGAAGCACGCACCTGGAAGTCGGTCATAATGATGATGGAGCCATCATTACCTCCCAGCGCAACTTGACTGGCGGTTGCTTCAGGCATCTCTGAGATCTGCTGCACCTCCTCTTTGGGCAGGAAGTTGCCACAGCACATCTGGATGTAAGCAGAGCACAATAAGCCAGCACTGTATGGCTGAGTTCAAATCGACAGGCTGTGGCTGCTGGTAGCATGCAAGCCTATGGGAAGTGGTTGCAGCTGCTTTCCAGAGGCTCCCCCCCCCAACTCAAAAATGTTATTTCCTTCCACAGCCTTAACTTGAACAGCCATGTTGAAGTTTTGGACAACGCCTCGATTAAAAATGTGATGACATCTGGGCCAAGTTTCACAGTACTGCGTAACAGGTGCGTTTGTGCTTACAGTGCTTCCATCTGTTTTACAGAGACTGTTTAGCAGTAAGCACAGCAAAAGCAAGCTTAACCTTAAGCTTAAATCTCCACATGCATGCAACTGTTAGCTCATTCGAGTAGTGATATAGTGCTCAGGCGGCAGCATAATTTTGTGCTAGAGTAAGCACAACGTTTAAAGAGTTAGGCCGATGCTACGAAATTGGACCCCAACAACCTGTGTTTCAGCATCTCCTGCACATTCAAGGTTATGCTTTCTAAAAGCACACTACTGCTGTCATGTGATACACGAAAAAAAATTCCACCAACAACCTTCAGTTCTGGAATGCTCCGTTCTCACCCACTCTTCATGGGACTTTGGTGCAGCAAGTCACTATAAAGGTAACTGGGAAACAGTTTGGGCAAGCTCAGCCCAAAACATACATTCCAGCGGCGGTGTCTTCAGTCCATAGAATTCAAAGGTAAAACATGTTAAACAATTGAACAAGCAAATGTCTAAAATATTCAAACTTCGTTTGGGGTATGTGCACCCATCCCCCCCAGTTGTGCGATTTGCATTCGGGCATCTGATGGCTGATCACTTCTGTGAAAATTTCACCTTCAGGAATTCCCACTGAAACTGGTTCCAGGTCCTGGAACCCACCATCCTATGCCAGTCAGTTCTTTGGGTAATTATTTTCACTGCGTAGCCCTCCCCACGTGTATTTGCCTATGCCGACACAGCTGAACTTTGTCCAGTCTGACCCAACTTACCGCTGTAATAACTGACGGAGTCGGCAACGTCAGCACAATCAGTCCTTGCTGAATGAAATGAAGATTCCGGCAGTCATCTGAGGCAAGGATATAGTTGCTCCTTCGGCCTGAGGAACCGACCAGATTGGCTGCTAGGAGACACTTGACAACACTAGGCCGACTCTCTGCCTACATTTAAAATTTAAAAAAACCTTAATGAACAAAATATCCAATGCCAACAGTATGAATTTCTCAGGTGCGATCATTTTTTAAGTTTGACTATTCAAATCAGACAAGCCTAGCAGAAGGAATCCTAACACATGGGAACAGTTACTGTACCTCCTGCATCGGTGAGTCCAGTCTCAGCTTCCAAAGATGACTGTACGGTAATTGTGCGTGCACAACTCCCCCTGTATCACCAGTGATTACACTCACATTACCGGCTGCAAGCAGGGACAAAAACCAGTCAACAAACCTCTCATGTTTATCAAATTACAATCACAGATTACAGGTACAGTCCATCATTTGTCATTTGTGCATTGCTGTACGTTCTTCTGAGCAACCAAATCAAAATATACGGAACGGTGCCTGAGCACAAACCTGATGAAGTTTCCAGCTCAATGAATACATTTTCCCAAAATGGGTCAAAAATGGGTAAACATCACTGGAAATGGCCTTTCCTATTTTTCTTCAAAATGAATGCTTACCAGAAAGACTAATTTCAAAGGGAGTTTAGTCCAATAAATATCTTTAAACCAAGTACACTTTTAACAATAATTTATCATTTTTTTGGAGAAAACTGCAAATGATGAACTGACCTTTAATGACTATAAACCGTACATGTACACGTATAAAGTGGGGTTTTTCATCAAATTACTTGAGATATGTTTGTTAAACACAAAAAAATGTGCATCAGAATGCTGTAACTGATTTTTATCAAACAACTGACGATAACTAATTTCCCTAAATGGCTTCTGCGCCGTGTGGCATTAAGTCTACATGTATGTGTAGTCAAAGCCTAATTTTCAGTGGCACAAAACACATGCATCACTAGTAGACAGAAGAGAGATCTGTTCTTGACTTGTGCATTTGTAAAATGTAGCTGAGATTTGGAAGACCTCTCATGATGCGTAACAGCGGGTGGCTGACTTACTGGCATCAGTATCCACTTGCAGGTGACCCAAACTGTGACCCGATAAGCTCTGCCTGCTCAAGATTTGACCATTGCAGAAGATGGTCATGGTACCACGCGAGTCGCCGGCAATCAGGTCCGCCTCGCTGAAGCGGGTGATGTCTGCCAGGACCAGTGACTGGACCGGTCCCCCCTTGGTTTCCAGGCAAAGGTGTGGCTGTGGCAAGATCGCAACGAGAGGACAAACCCGTGACACACAGGGTTGAATAACAAACCTGATGCCCAAACCATCCACACATGAACAAACAGGCAATACTTCCGCACTGACAGTGTTGTAGTCAAGTACGTTTCTAATACTGAGTTCTCTGCCAAAAGTTCACTGATTAGGAGGGAACAAAACTGCAATATACGTACATGGTCATTTAACGGTACATGCAGAGGACAAAGTAAAGTGCTCAATTAAGACTATCACTGTTTAATAAAAATTAAGTTTTCAGCTTTATAGCTCAGTACTCCAGTTTTATTCCCTCTTACCCAGTTCAGTATTTGGCTGAGAACATTGGTATTCAAAAAGTACTTGACTACAACACTGTACAGAGGGGACAATTTTTTTGTTAGAAAAGTTGAGACCGAATTGCGAGGAGAACAATTTGTCCCAGTAACGTTTTTGCTCTTCGTCCATGGTTAAAAGTATATGTGTACAATAATGTACTCACTTCTATTTCAGGTAACTCTGTGCTTGATGGATGTCCCGATGGAATGTCATAGACTCTGATGATCCCGTCCTCACAACCCACTATGATGCATTCCTTTTGTATGCTGCATACATTTATGCATGTCAAGTGAAGACAAAAATGCTGTTAGTAAGTACCCCTAGAATATAAGTAGGTACATGTACAGACATACATACACCATCATCCCTCTGCAACTGCAGATCTACTGTACATGTATGTTGTTTCACTTCAATCTTTCCAGCATGCATGTATTAGGCAGTAATTAAAGCCACTGAAAAAGTAGCAGATACATGTATGTACATGTACATGTACAGTCAGTCACAATCGATTGATCAATACTATTGTGAGATTGCATGATGGCAGTCGACCCAGTATGAAATCTCCAACTTAGCTCTCTTTCAAAACAATCTTCCAAAAAAGATCAAGTAGAAGGAAAAGGCAAATGACAGAAAGAAGTTAATTGTCCAATAAGATAATAGATCACACAAAGACCGACCGATCGCATCTAAAGTGCACACGGTGTACATGTACATGTCTCACACGGCACGTGTGAATACATACACTGTACACTTTCCTGTGTGATGCATGTGCTGTTCAGGCCAAAATAAAGAAGAAAAACTAGCAAGGTAACATCAATGTAGCCCTGATCTAATGTGCTTTGATCATACATGTAGGTCTACATACATTTTGACCACCATGTAGACAACCAATCACTCACAGAGAATTGGGAATTATTAGGCCCTAGGCAGTGTTGGAGTCTAGTTCTTCTCGAGTACCAAGGTTCTCTGCCAAATGTTGAGCTATACGGTAATTAGGAAGGGCATCTGGTAAGTACATGTACATGCACAAGGGTAAGATAAGGAAATTTAATATTGAATTCAGACCATTACTGCTTCTAAAGTGCTAGATAAAAATTAAGTTTTTATGACAAAGTACATGTACTCGAAAAGTACTCGGCCAAGTACTTTTCTCCTTAAAACTTAGATTTTACAAAACTGAGAATATCTGAAGTCTTACATTTAGTTTGTAATCTTCCCATCTACCATCACATGTCCAGGTACTCCAGCTTTATTCCCTCCTAACCAGTTTAATGTTTGGCAGAGCTCCTTAGTACTTGACAAGTACTCGACTACCACACTGGCCCTGGGTGAACAATGTGTCAGTCAACTTCAGGGCCTATTGCAATGTTACACTCTTGTTGGTGTTCCTCCATATACACATGTACACCAGTTATTTACTTCTATTTCTAATGAATTTTCAAATTGGAGTACGGAGAAGAAAGGGGCGTAAAGGGGGTAATATTGGGCTTAAGCCTATCCAAAAGAAGTGCTACCATGGCCTGTTCTTCCTGTTCTTAATGCTCTCTGCTAGGGACATGCATCGATGAGTGAGGGCACTGCCATTTGGGATCTCATTTTGAATTTTCTTAACAGGAAATTGTGATTAAAAGTTATGTTTCTCCGCATGCTGTCATGGCTGTAGCTCCTGTGTTTCATTTTCATGTTTTAAAATGTCAAGTGAAGCCAGCATGTAATTTCCTGAAATAAGGCACACATACTGACGGAGTAATGGCTTTAAGTTTCTGAAGTGCAAGTACACCCGGGACAAGAGCAGTGAAGGGATGGTAAAGTTATATACGCGTAGGCCTATGTACATATAAATGTAGGTCATGTACATGTACTCATGGAGTAACCATCTCTGATCATGTGTATCTATTCTTACCGAAAAAGTTTTCCCACGACAACTTGATTGAAAGCATGCTTCAATTTCGTCTTCCACAGGGTTTGTAAAGTTGTTCTGTGCGGCATTTCGAATGTGTTTTGATATTTTACGTAGGGGCCTACTGTTAGTTTACTGGGTCTTCGCTACCACTGTACCATACAAACCATGCACAACTTACATGTAGCTAGCTGGCTCGATTCCCATAAATATCTCCGCGTCTCATGTATAATATTAATATACGTCGATGAAAGCAACAGAGGGCGCTGTTTCACGCGTCACTGGTCGTAAAGTTTTATAGCACAGATTATATTTTATTGTACACAAAGAATTGAATTAACTCAAACAAAATAAAAGGAAGTACATATAAATCCAGGGCATTGTCGGGGATAACACAAAAACTAGAAACAGCTTATTTCGATTGTGGTCCTCATACAATCATTTCACTACGCAAACTGCAAAATGCAGACAACTGTTATTGTTTTCCCTTTTGTATTAACTTGACAGCTAGCAAGGTTACTAGGATGAGCCTATATATTGTGCCAGGGGCGGATCCAGTATTTTTTTTTGGGGGGGGGGGTAACTAAAGCAGTAAAAATGACATGCCCATACGGCCTGGGGTCTGGAGCCATTTTGTATTCTTGGTGCCCTGTGGTGCAATTTCAAGCAGTATGACCCCTCTTTTTCTTTTCCCTCCCTCTTTTTGTTCTTTTTTATTTATTTATTTGGTGAAAAAAGGGGGCGTGCGCCACCCACGCCCCCCCCCGATTGGCCCCTGCGGCCTAGTCCACCTTTCTTTCTATGCTGCGCTGAATTAGTGGGTCCAACCGGTCCATTTTGCTCGTTTTCGTTGTCGGAAATAAAATATTGGGTCAAAAAAATGATAGTTTCTCTATCTCGAATCACCTGATAAGGCAGTAGAATTTTTTTCTTAGACTTTCTCTGGAGGTGCATCACATGCAAACGTACGCCCCTACCTCCAATTTCCTGAGAGCTATCCCAAAGTTCAGCATGTATGCCAGGCACCGATCCAGTTAATGCACACAGTAACCTCTCAGAACCATTCGACCTAACCCCTTTTATCCTGGGTAATTGCAAATATTAAATGTTTCACATCCGAACAATGGTAAGAATAATTTCCTGAGGTTACAGATGAAATGTTCGAATCCACCGAGCAAAGCCGAGTGGAATATTAAACATTATTTTGCATGAATGTGAAACATTCATCGTTTGTTTTATATGCTACCTGCATAAATCCTCTTCTATTAGGAGAAAAAAAGGGCCCCCCTCGCGTATTCGAGTCCGTTTTGGGGCAACAGATTCAGTGTCCGAAGCGCCATCTAGTACTGGTACGAGCGTGCAATGAAGGACTGGTTTCTGTAGCTATTTTCCTCTTTCTTACTGGAAATTATGTCATGCATATACAGTATATACGAAATGGGGCTGGAACAAGTCAAGTGATGTTCTGTTCAACGGGTACCGTTAAACAGAACAAAGTACCAACGATCCAGCAATCACGGGGATTTAAGCATGTTTGTCTACAAAAATTGTCTTTCCTGAGTCACTTTGGCCGCCATCTTGTTCGTTTTGACCAGATTGTCACTGATTTGTCAATTGATAGCCTTAAAACAGCGTTGCACCTAACAGGACCAGATTGGGGTCAACATGAACTCAGTTTAGTAGGCTGTAAGAAAAAATGATAAAATTGAAAATTGAATTTATCAGTTTGAATGGATGTATTATCAGCTTTGTTGTATTCAAAACCTGCCTCTAGTAAAACAGTGCCTAGCCAGGCTACTTAATCCCACTGGCCATTTTGCACTGACACTATAGTGGGAGGAGGGGGAATATCCAGACAGACATTACTGTTTTAGGGTTCAAAAGTACTACTGTTTTAGAAAACGGTACTACTGGTACCACCTGTGGGGATGAGAAGTTTTACAGATGGAAGAAAATCAAATGGTATTTTAGAAAAATTTCCATCTCACCCTCCCGACCGAAGATCTGAATATGCCACCGCCATGCTGCAAATAATCGAAGCCCGCAATTATCTGCCAGCGATCAAGCATTTTTGTTTGCCGGCCTAATCGGTGCACACGCGGAAACTGCATAGCCGTGATAGGATGGAAGTTTGTGGGGTCTTAGCCTAAGCATCACGGTTAATTTCAGACATAGGCTTGTTTAATACACTTTGCACGCTGTATTCTGCTTGCAAAAATCGAAAAACACACTACGTGCAATGATTTCAACAGCACAGCGCCTACTTCGCTGCCTGCCGGTACGCGGTGGCGCTTTGCAGTATTGTAAGCAATTATGACACGTATGAGGCTTTCAGCATTTAGGCTTAATTGAATCATGAATGCCACATTGCACAGTGCAGCATGATCGATATTGGCCTGCTCGTGTAAAAATGATAGAACTATTTCAGAGACGCACAGGTGCAAGGCCAATATGAAATTGACAAGAACAACGGCAGTTTACTCGACTCGGTATTGGATATATGTCAAACATATTCAACATAACCAGCCATTGCCAACCTGGGAGGGGAAAATCATGGAAAAATGTTCAGTCGCTAAGAACGTCGGGATACCACTGCGCTGACGAGTTCGGCGGTACGTGACGACAGAACAGCGCAATGCACCGTACAGAGGATACCAGATGTAATACGATACACATCAGTTTTGGGCGCGTGTGAATAAACCTGGAATCCATACGCCTTTATACAAACCAGGCAGGGATAACTTTTTTGTGGCCAAAGACAAGTTCAATATTCAAGGAAAAACGTGCGTGAAAGGACTGCTTAGAACAGAATGAAAACCTGAGACACTGGGGCTAAGTTACTTGAATAAGCCTAGAATTGAAATAAATTAATCAAATTTACCCTTTGAGCGGAAGCGTGGTTATTAATGTCTTTTATGTCGCGTATTTATCATCACAGCTGCGTGACGCAGGGTTTCGGTATGCCAATATCAGCAGCAAATGACATCCACATGTAGCCTGTCAACCAGCGAGTTTTCCGGACATACATTATACGTTTGCGTGCAATATAGCTTGCCCCCGGCGCCAGCACTGAATTTAACTCGTTCCCATCACACCTCCCCGATATGGCGTCGGGATGGACCGATCACTTTCTCAAAATTTTGTGAAGGAATTGCAAGTGTGGGAGGCTTTGTGGGATGCCTGCTGCTCGGCCAATACACTGATCTGATCCGCACATTCACCGCGCACGTGTCACACGCACGGAAGCGTTGACCTCCTTTTACTGTTCGTGCAAACCCTATCCAATAAGGCCTCGAAGAAATGACGTCATGCATCCGCAAGAAAGTAGCCCATCCCAGCGCAGTACGAGTGCGGTACGGATCGGATCGACGAGCGAATACTCGCGCGCGCTGGGCCTTGATGCATGATATGCGCACTCACGTATCCAACCTATCAAGAACAGCATTGCATTAATACCAGCTCCCTTCTGACCCTCGTTCGAAATGGTAAGTGCATTGTTCCACTTACGATTGACTTACTGAGATTGAGGAGCTACTTACTGAAAACTGCTTTCTGTGAAGATTGTACCAGTGATCCAATTAAAAATTTCTGTTTCAATTAGAAATGACAAATTATTTTTCTGTCCACGGAAAATGTTAATGTTTCCAACAACATAATCTAAGCTAAGCGAGCAAGGCGCAACAGACTCACCATGCTGGCCAACTTTTTGACAACCCATTTAGGTTAAGTCAGTGGCAGCCTAGGCTACTTTCGTGAACTTGGTTCGAGTAGGAATAGAATAATATTTCAAGGTTTCAAGGACCACTTTACACAGTAGGGCCTACAGTGTTTCGGTTGGTTTTATCATGCTCATTGCCTAGACAGCCTGGTACTGTGGTAGGCCTACGAAACTTTTCTCCCGGACCCTGCTGTGTAGGCAATTTCAGATTTGTTTGGCTGATTTGAACATTGTGTAGGCCCTGAGCATACATGTCCGATAGGCCTGGCTCAAATTAACGGTCACAAGCTGTGAAAGGTCGCTTCCAGAAGTAGGCCTAGGCTAGACTAAAGCCTTAAAAAACATAGCTCGGTCGCCATGGTCACAACAGAGTTTCAGTGTAGAATACACAGCCTAGTGTAGGGTGGCGATAAAAGTGCTGGCTACTTTAACCAGGCGCGAATGGGTTATTTTTATCTTAGCCTATAAGCTCCTCAGGCCTCAAATTCTACAGTTCCAAGCCTAGGCCTTCTGGTTTTTTAGACATTTGTCAAATGCTGAATTGAAATATCTTTTCTTTTCCCCTCATTAGGCAGATCAGCTCACTGAGGAACAAATAGCTGGTAAGTGCTGGAGCATTAAAGCCAGTGATAGAATAAGAAGTTTTGACCAAATGATCATCAACCCCTTCCTGTCTTTGGGGACAAACTCACCAGAACCAGAAAATGACTGCAAATGAGGAAGATGGGATCCCTCTTCTGATCTACAGACTAAAATGCACATCACAATATAATTTTCTGGAGGGAAGGTGGGCCCATGTTCCCCCTCCTACCTGCTTGTCTAAAGTCAACACTAAAATCAACAGCTGTTAAAATGTTAAAATACAAGAGGCTGTTGTACATCACACATGTGTGGCACTCTCATTCTGTGTGGGGTTTATAACAATTTATTACTCAGGCCCTTCCAGTTTCATGAATGGCCTCATCATCAGTTTCCTGAAGTGCTTTGTAATCATAAATTTACTACCTGAGGCAAATTTAATTTGACAAGGGACAGTGCCTCATTTTCATTACGAAGGAAAAGCTGGTCATAGTCAAACAGGGGCCACCTATTACATTCATAAAACATTTAAGCAATAAACCTGATTTTGAAATAAACAACTAAAGATTATATTAATAGTAGCTTACAGTATCATTGCAATCACTTGCTTCATTGAATTGCTGGGGGAACTATATTGGAATACTTTCCTCCTTTTTTTAAACAAATGGGTCACTGAAATACAGTCGAAGAAGGGAAAGTAATATATATTTTTTTACATACAGAGAGCATTCTGTTATGACCTTTGCTTACAGAGTTCAAGGAGGCGTTCTCCTTGTTTGACAAGGATGGCGATGGCACCATCACCACCAAGGAGCTTGGGACGGTCATGAGGTCACTGGGTCAGAACCCCACGGAGGCTGAGCTGCAGGACATGATCAACGAGGTTGATGCTGATGGTAGGGTTCCGGCAGATAAGATGCACCGTGGGGGGGGGGAGGTGGCAGTGCAGATGTTGTGTAATTTTGTCGACTGGTGTTTAGGCCCTGCATGAAAAGCAGAGGCAGAATTGTTCTAAATTTTTTCAGTTTTGGGGGCCTCAAAATGTGGTTTGTAGTTACGGCCATATATGCCCGCAGTCACCTAATTTCAGGTCTTTTTCCACTCAACCACTTATTTACATAGTATTAACACAACATACACGATATTTAATCTTGCGTTGTCACTTGTTGACAATTCCATATGAGTGCACGCGAACAATTTAACCATCATCCCGCCCTAAGATTTGTGGTGAAAAACTGGGAAGGTGGGCAAAAGTGTTTTTATTAAAAACATTTCCCAGTCTGATTTTTTTCCGTGGCATGGACAACAGAGCTAATTTTTTTAATTAGCCTTATTGAAATTTAGGAGCCATGGCTGATGATAACTGTAAAAAGAGTAGGCCTACTGTTGCCAGAATGGTTCGAGTGATGAATTTAAGGAGTCACACAAAGAAGTGTTTGCTATATTATGAATGTACATCAGTATTCGTATTGAGAATATTGATACAGTGGAGCATCCATGACAACAATTGGATTGTTGGGAAAAGCAGTTAATGTAATCTCATTCATAGCAGGGGCTATCGTAAATCAGAAGTTTATAGGATCCACGATCCAGAAATTTTTCTGGGTGGGTGGGGTCAGACCATCAGATTTTTTTATATTCAATTGTTGTAGACAGAGGGACCCACACGGGTAATGTATTACTTGTTGCTGATGTATAAATAATAACCCTTAAGAGGATGTCATATTATTTATGTTATTTCATTTTTTATTTATATGATTGATTGATTTCTTTGTGGGGGACAGTATCAGAGCAGGGAGGGGTTGACCCCCAAACCTCACCCCCTGGATCCTTGCCTGTGTAGAAAGTTTGCTTGCTATAGTTGGTAAATTCACTAGAATGTTTCTCTCCTGTTGATTCCTTCAGGTAATGGTACAATAGACTTTCCTGAGTTTCTAACAATGATGGCGCGCAAAATGAAAGACACAGACAGCGAGGAAGAGATCCGGGAAGCCTTCAGAGTCTTTGACAAGGACGGCAATGGATACATCAGGTGTGTACAACATGTGCAGTACGGTGATTTCACCACTGCAGAGCATCTTCGATTATGCAAATAGTATCATACACTGCCCAGCTGAGCATGACATATTATGTATATGTACTTCCTTGGATCAGTGACAATTCTAGTTATGTGACCATCAATCTGTGACGGCAGAGATATATGAGAATGCGAATGATTTACATAGCATTACGTGTATGGGATTTTTTGCGTGAAAGCTGTTTCTATAATTGATTGCGTGTGGCCTTTTGACAAGAATTCTTCCATTAAAAGCATTGAATGAGCAAGCTATCTCTTGGGCATTTCAATAAAAGAACAGCTTTTTGTTGTGACTCTTACACAACGTGATTGAAATTAATGAAGGTTTTAAGTGTGCCTTGAAAAATTAAAGCAAGTGTCAATTTATGAAGTAAATTTCTGATATGGCTGAGAAGTTGCAATGTCTGCATTAATGCATTGTTACAATAGTGCTGCTGAACTTCGTCACGTGATGACCAATCTCGGGGAGAAGCTGACGGATGAAGAGGTTGATGAGATGATACGAGAAGCAGACATCGATGGGGACGGACAAGTCAACTACGAAGGTGAAGAATTTCTTTCTTTGATCTGTTCTTGAGAAAATAGATTGATTTCTCAGGATTTTTCCTGATTCTAGGATTTAGTTATCAGGAGTTGACTGATATCAGGAATTTTCAAACAATCTCTTTTGCAATCTGGGAAAACCCGTAGTTAACAAATAAGGTGTTTTATGTGTAAAAGTTGATGTAGAAAACATTAAATTGACGTTTCAAGGGGTGCCTGTGGGCAAGCAATTCTGTATGACAGATGCAGCCCCCCCGGGTCTTCAAAACCTCTGGTGATTATTTTGTGGATATTATATTTCTCCAATCTTGTTATTCACTGGGTATCCTGTGCTGATATTTAGTCATGCATTTCTCTTCATTCCCAAATGATAAATCTCAACCATGATAGGCACGAAAGGACAGTAAACATTTCTCCATAAACTTAACCTACTTGGCCATTTCCTCTGTTATTAACATACTGGAGAAAAAATATGTTCTCTATTTCTGCTATTGCTGTGTCCTTGAGAAGGTTTTCTTTGCCACAGTATGATCAATGATAAAATTTACCCGTAAGCATTTATGGATCACCACAATAAAAGTTAAAATCAAATCAAGTAATGTTTAGAGCCAAAGGCGTGAGTGTTTAGCGTGATCTGATTATCAAAGCTGAATTTGTGAAGCTTGACTCGACCCTATTCGCTTTGCTTAATTCATTTCCTTTTCCTTTATGGGCATGGTCAGCCCACAGCACGCCTTTATTATTTATTTTAGCTGCATTGTATGGTACAATAGTTTGACCTGTAAACAACCGGAAGAAAACTGAGCGAATCACAAAAACTACTAGGAAAATAATTGGTTCGGAAGTGAAACATATGAACGAAATTGTTGAAACAAACTATCTCACCAAACCGCAGACTATAATTAAGGACCAAACCCATCCTCTCCATTCATCTGTACACATACTCCGATCAGGAAGATTACAAGCGCTCCCCACTCACACAAAGCCGTTAAGATTTTCTTTTTTACTTAGTGCTATTCACCTTTATAATTCAAATTTCAGCAGATAATTATTGTATGTATCCAACACTTTTTTAATTAGATTAGACTTTTTAAATAAATTATCTGGCATATCAGTATGCTAGATCTGCTTCGTTTATAATAATGTTTTTTTAAGGTTTGGCCTTTTTTACAGTCTTTGTTGTTTTATGTAAATGTTTCTGTGCTTAAATTCTTGTATCTTGTTTTTATGTGCACATTGAAAAGAAGAATTTCACTTTAAAAGCTTTGTAATTGGGATAAAATATAATTATTATTATTATTTGCAAACTGTCAACGTTTAAAATCGTGGTCGCCTGTGAGAAAATAAACAGATATTAACAACTTCGAAGTGGCAATCAAGTTTGAAGGAACAAATCAAGGAACGGTCAAGCCAACCCTGCACTCACGAATGTTAGCTCTGAAAATAACTAGATGGACTCTGGCCTGTTTCTTGCCTCCCCAGAATTTGTGACCATGATGACATCAAAGTGAATGTGCCAGCTGGTGGTGGGTCAAGTCTTTATTCAGCTTGGTGGATTTCTCATCTCCCACCGTGGAAGACACACGCAGCTGGCACCGTGGTTTCGCCTGTCTGTGCTCTCCACTGTTCTGACTGTAATACCTGTCTGTCTTCGCTGACACGGCTAAGACATTTCGAAGGGAATGAAGGACTGTTGATAAATCATTCTACTCAGCATTGGACATTTCTACGTCCTTGGGATCGGCTATAACGAGTGCTTTTGAACTTTTTCTACTTAAAACGCATTAATCAATCGAATTGTTGATTTGTTAATTCAAGTTTTGTCTTATCTTGTCAACATATATTACGTGATTTCTCCCCATAACTTGTTGAATTCAACTTGGCCAAGAAAAGTCCATTTTGATAATAAAAATTACAGGCTTTTAGGGTTGTTAGACAGTTTGGAATATTTGTTTTTACTTTAAAATATTTACCTTTGGATGACATGGTTTTACAAATTCAAAATTATCAGTGAAGGCTAAAAAAATGTGAAAAACACTGTTTGGGTCTGAGTACATGACTGTGTGTATGATTACATTTCATTTTTTTTTGGAATTGCAACAGTCAAAACGACTCATTGATCACAGTTTTCTCTATCATAGGCACGGACGTCAGGCTTGTTTATTTACAAATCGTGTTTTATAGCTGCGGTTTGCTCTTGCTGAAATGCGTTGGGGACAAGTGGATGAAAATTGGTCACACACCACGTTTTTGATTTATTTTTAAATTAAAAACTTTATTAACAAATACTGCAGATCGATTCCCTTTTTTCTATATTCGTGCTTTTTATCCAAATATTGCTTGCTCTGTGCATTAGTGATGTTGGACAGTATTAGCTTTGGAAAAGAGAAAACAAGCCCTTACGGATTAATGATATTTACAAGTAATGGAGGTCTCTAACGACCCGGAGGAGTAGTGTTTTTGATGTTCGTTGAGTGTTGAAAAGTTGTTGCATTGGTGCAAGTGAACAAAGAATGTTTACAAAGCTATTTTGAAACAAAAAATAGTAACTGGGAATTTCCAATTTGTAACCCCCTCGTTGCTATTATTTGCTGCCTTGCTTAAAATTGTATCCACATTGTTATCTCTACTGTTTTGTATTACTTGGATCGTTAATAAAAAACACTTTCGTAAGATCCTAATACTTTGTGGCTTGGCTAAAACTGTAAAACTTACTGCATGTTCCATTACATAACTAATTCAAGACACTTAATAAGCTTCCCGGTGTCTTCAATTCAAGGGGGTGGCGAGGAGGCAAGAAAGCGAACTTAAAGTGAGAAGGTCTACACTGGTGAGGAATTCATGGTATTTCCCTTGCTACTGCCAATTACCGAAAAGAGCTCTTAATTATTTTCAGCAATTAAAATGTATACCCAACCCCAAGCAAATTACAGTCTATACTCTGTTGAAATATGTTGGCGGCGGATCATTATGATTGATTGGGTGGAGACCTGAAAGTTTCAGGAGCTGGGACACGAAGCCTGGGAAATAGGAGCAACCTCTATCGCAGGAGGTAGTAGAACGCTCTAACCGAACAATCTGCTTTGGACACTTTGTCAGGTGTTACATTAATGAGTTTGTATAGGATGCCTTTGTGACTTGATAATGAAATTAACAAAAACACAAATGATGGCTTCTTACTGTAGGTAAACATTAGTAAATGCAATGAAAGGGCCCCCGGGACGGAATTACCGAGAGGCTTTTCTTGGATTCCACGATCTAATGGTCTGGAGTTTGAGACTGTGGGTCAACAACATTTGTATGTTGAGTTTCCAAGATAAACGGGTGACAGTTAAAAATTACTGGTCGTTTTTCTACCATTATCCTCTATATAGAAACCATGTATTTTTTGGCCGGAGCTTGAAAAAGTTAGTAAATTGGCATTAACACTTGTTGTGATAGTATGTAAATTCCGTCCCCGACGCGTTCGAAATGTAAATGAATGTCCATTGCCTGCAAACCTTTTGCAGTTGTAGCCGGGGCCACAGGCCCACACACCCGCTGTGCTTAGGCCTATTAAGGCTGCATTGGCACCAGCCGTCAAAATATTCTCTTTTTTCGTTCACTGCATTTTGTTGGAAGAAGAAAAAAATTAAAAAAGGGAAAATCATGGATAGGTTATGCATACCTCCCCACCCCCCCATTTAGGCCCACCCGCGTTTAGTATTGAGAATTCTACGGTTCGGCAAAGCGGAAGATGTCACTGGTATCTAGAACGTGGTCATTTAATTATCATTAAGGAATGTAATTTGCTCCTGGGGATCATCCCCACTTGTTCGTAATAGACCTAGATCGCGTGCCTACCTCCATGTTCTAATCATTCTGTCAGCTCTGCAGTGCGGGGTAAGACATCATTTCTTTGGTGACTAAAACTGCTCACACGAACGCTCAGTCAATGCAGGATTGCATTTTGCCTTTTTGGTGGCGGTCGGGATACTGCTGCAGGCCGGCTGGTGCGCATGTCACGATGCAGCGGGGTAGTAAGACGCATTGCACCCTTAAAGGTATTTCGTCGATTCGCATAATCAGGCCCCCATCGATAGCCGACGCTCGTACCTGGCGATGCTACAGTGTGAAGTTTACATTGATCTCTCTGTGTTAGAAATTGATGGTGGACAATCCTCAGTAACGTATCCTTCAATGCACTCTGACCCCCTCTTTAACTTGAATTTGTATTTGGTTTTAATCTGAATAGTTACGACAATCCGAAACCAGATCTGCACAATAAAACGGATGTGGGATGTCATCCCCTCCTTTAGCCACGGTTAATAATATTTCAGAAACGTATAGGCCTTAAGTTCTACTTACCAGCGAAGGAAGCACACAACCTTGCACGCAGAGCCCCAAAGGCATGTAGGCCTATGTGATTGCCTATAAAAATTAGCCAAGGCTCTTGCAAGAATGTTTTTTCAATTGTGGGGGTATAGCTATATATAACAGGTCCTCTGTCTATAATAATTGATAACTGATGGTGAGCACGCCTATGAGTCTACACCATATAACACGCATGTCTGAGTCACGTTGATTTCAAAGAAAGAAGGATTTCATTGCATACAAAGAATTCGTTCAAAAGTGTCCTTTCCTAGTAACCTGTAATAAAATAATTATATCAGTTATGTCTCACTGTGGCGAAGCCAGTAACTGTAATCATAAAATCCCAAGTCGTGAATCGGTTAGTTTAGTAGTAGAAATAGATTTCTACCTCCATGGTTTAGCCGAACAAACAAATACTAATATCGGCGCTTTCAAACCAAGGATCAAGCGATATCACGTTTAAGACAACAAATCCTTCAACCAAAAAACAACAAAAACAACAACAAACTAAAAAACAAAAAACAAAACAAAACAAAACAAAAAGCTATGTAAAGCCTGTTGGCAGAAAATATAGGCTGACTTATTAACGATGGTGGACTTATAGAGCCACGAGCGGTGTGAACCAAGTTGGCCGGCTCAGGAGGCTACGCCACTCTACCAGCACATCGCTGCATGAACTGCATGACTCGCGTTTTTAGCAAAGTTGGAATTCCATTGACGTGAGTCGCAGCTACATCGCGTGGCGACGATGCGCACTTTCCTTCTTCACTTACCCCGAGTAACATCGACGGTTTTCCGTTCCTCGCTCCCATCCCGTCCGTGACCTTGGACAAAATAGCCAGTTTCCACCAATGGTAAGTTCAAGGTTTTCTTGGTTATATTGTTGAAGAGCTAAAGAGGGAAAAATTTGGACATATTTTCACTCCAAAAATGGAACTTCGCCACTTAGCTCACCCCAATAAAGTTCACCTTCAAAAAGTCTTTGAACTTCTCTTTATTTTCATTTCTTTTAAAGGCAGAACAACTAAGTGAAGAACAAATTGCTGGTGAGTAAAACTCCTTGCACGAATACCCTTAATCTTTTTACCAAACACATCCGTAATTGTAACCATATTTTAAACTAGTTTGCATGTGGAATGGTTTGTCATATGGACAACCACAGTGGACATTTTGTCATGCCACCTCGATTGGATGGACTTTACGAGCTTCACTCGTGAACGATTTGCCTGCAGCCATCTAATTTCATTAGCCTGCCACTCGGACGATTTGGATGGATGCATGATTTGAACAATTAAAAATGAACGACTCTTTGTTATTTCCTGTTTGAATATGGATAATAATCTGTTTTGCAGACTTCCTAAGACATCGTTACTGATATCATTGTACATTTTGCTAAGAACGTGAAAATTTTTTTTAGTATATTGTGACACTTTTTAGGACCTAGGCCTGGGCCATGATTGGGTGTGCTTCGAGTATGTGAACTTTTGTTTGCAATTTGTTGTAGTTATAATATTGAATTAAGTATGGCATCGTCTATAATGTACATTGGCACAGGCATATTCTAAAAACTGTGTTTAATTAATGTACAGTGATCACCGAGAAAAACCGCCCCATAAAAATATATATAACATATTTTGCAGAACTTGGCTAAAAGCTCTTTTGGCCCCTGTTTATTCGATATGACGGGAAACAAGTCTGCCCGAACGAAGTGATATTCCCAGGTGCAACACGGACCTTATATTAGTGGTGTATTTTGACTAGTATTAAAGTGTAGCTGCAATTAACTGTCCTTAGACATAATTTTTTGCAAATTGCACTCTTCTTGTGTGTATGAAAATTCTTTTACAATTTCTTATTTGATTAAATGCATTGAAAAAAAAATGGACTTTTTAAAACTTTTAAAATTTTCCATGCTTTCCTGGACAACTGAGGGCGCTGTTGCGGTGATGCAAGACAAAGTTCAGTGCACCTAGGTTTCAAGTTCTGTTCAACTTGAATTGTGAACCCAGAATTTACTTAGTAAAGCATTTATGACAAAGGAGTTTATGCTCACTTATTGCTATGCACATGAATAACAATGAATCAGCAATCAGCATAGAAGAGAATATTTAGTCCAATGAAATCTACCAAAATGCGGCACTTTTTGTGTACAAACCAATGTAACATTGAGGCTTTCTTTATGGAACGTCACAGTTCTGCTCATGAATATGAAAAAATCGTTAGCACAAAAACAAAAAGCAGTAAAATACCCTTTGAAGTAGTAATACAAAAGTAGACAGTAAGGATGACTGAAACACAAAGGTGCATTTTGAAGGGCTGTACTGAAACAAGTTGTTTGCAGATGACCTTTTAAAGCTTCACAGGGAAAATCGACTTACGATCGTGTAATCTTGTGCTTCAGTTCTTGGAGCATTATGGAGGTCGACGAGGAAACAACTCATTGGCGGCAATATAGTTCGGTAGTGCACAGAGCATGCCTTTGAGAGTCCTGTAAAATATTTCAGGAATGGATTGAATTTTTATATTTGACGCCAGCTTTCTTTATATCTGGTGCGTTGGTGTATGCTGAAACTTGGTTTGTACATGTAACATCCAGCTGCAACATTTTAGCCTATTAATGGAAAACTTATTTTGCATTTTACGCGTAGCGTCTGCTCGCCACTGAAAATGCCGTGCAATCTTTTTCACATCGACCCTTTTTAAATGAAGCTTTGTGTTCCAGTCAAATTTGATTTAGTTTTTTGTTACTATCGCTAAAGGCATTTTTGCTTCTTTTTCTTTATTCTAATGTAAATTTCCATATTCATGGCAAACCTGTGCACGTATTATCCTAAGGAGAAAACATCAGCATTGCATTGCTTCTTTCACTCTAAATTTAACACACACAAAAAGGCAAAAGCAAGCTCAATTTCTGGATATTTTTACTGACCTCAATTTCCTTTTGTTTGTTGATTTTTTGATGTACATAATGCCCACGGCAGTGAGGAACTCCTTCTCAGAAATATTTTCAGAGAACAAATTCTTGGTTCGCAATACCAATAGAAAAAAATCCAAACTAAACAGTCTTATATTTCACTGGAAGTCAGAGCAGTAACTTGGATGGCAGCAACAGCGCCCCCAGTTGTGTGAAAAAGCATGAACAATAGACCCCTTGCACTTGGCACTTATTTGCTCCTCACCTAGCGTCTGAACAGGGCGCTGGGAAAGACTGACGGCTTTGCACAGATTTTAGTGAAGGAAATACGTCACACGGGGTCCACAGCTTGCGACGCGCAGAGCATTGTGGATAAATTTCTGAAAGGCACGCGAGCTTTACACAAGCGGGTGTTATCAATTTGATGTCTTTGTTTTTCTTCCTCATTGTTAAAAATATTCTCACTACATTTTATTCGTTCATCCAAAACTGATCACGATAACCGATGTTTTGAAATTATGTCGCCAAAAGACAAGTGATCTCTGATACTTAGTGAGCAGACATATTACCACACTGTGATTATACCAAGGCCATATGTTTTTATTATACAGCCGAAACTTTGCCCGTGCAGCCAAAAATTGGAATAAGGTTTCGCTAACAGGAAGTAGTTTTCATACAGGTTTAATAATACGGGTTTAATATCTTAGCTACTCGTTTGCAAAAACATTTATATGAAATCGACTGGACATTAGCAAAACTGAGTCTTTGATGAAAATTTACCCCTTTCCCTCCAATCCTGAAGAATTCAAGGAGGCGTTCTCCTTGTTCGACAAGGACGGCGATGGCACCATCACCACCAAGGAGCTGGGGACGGTCATGAGGTCACTGGGTCAGAATCCCACGGAGGCTGAGCTGCAGGACATGATCAACGAGGTTGATGCTGATGGTACGCCAAAAATCATTTGCTATCTCCTTTCGTGCAATGCTCTTCCGTTATATCGTAGTTCACCAATACTAGTGCTTCATACTCATTTCGAAATGGGTTTTTGCAGAATTAGATTTATACAGTTACACTGTATACCATGTGCCCTTTGTGTCACGCTAGGAAGGCATGAAGGCCGAGGTCAATGCAACGATGGAAAACAGTAGTACCAATAATGGCGAAAGCACTGTAGGCCTACCCCTTATAATATTTTTGAACCCACTGCGGCGGAAGCGGACTTGGGGGGGGGGAGCAGGGAGCCACCTCCGCTGGAGGCAGCTCCGTCCCCACTATGGCAGGTCCCATAATGGGGCGGGCCTAATTGATTGGTTTATAAACAGCCAAGGCCTGATGGTCTGTCTGAACCTTTTCAACTCGGTTCCCTCGAGCAGACACTATTATTAGTTCAGGTCTCCTTGGAACGTTGACTTTCAGGCAATGGTGAGATCGACTTCCCCGAGTTCCTGACGATGATGGCGCGCAAGATGAAGGATACAGACACGGAGGAGGAGATCCGGGAAGCCTTCAGAGTCTTTGACAAGGACGGCAATGGGTTCATCAGGTAAATCCCAACACTTTCAGAAATCGTGTTAACCGTTGACTCTATCTATCCCTTTGAGAGTCCGCTTGACTTCTGACCTTAGGACGGACTTACGTTTTAACATTATAAGTTTCAAAAATACAATGTTGAATCAACCTTAAAAGAGACGGGGCAGTGGAATGCAACCCCTCCCAACACTTTTCCCGGTACCGCCGCATTGTATTTTTTTTTCAGGAGTTGAACCTTCAGGAGTTCTTAGAGTAACTCTTTTCGGTCATTTTAACATTACTTTTGTGACAATCGAGCATACTGTTCTTGCGCAGCACGTATTGATTCTAAGACGGATCAGCCAGAAATGTATACTTTTTCTACTGCGGTGCTCAATGCACACGAGCTGAGAGAAAATGATCAAAATCGCACCCCTGTACGTTTTCAATCGCCCTTGCCACCAAGGCCATTTGTGCGCATATAATTATGAATTTATTAGTGAAAAGGTCTATTTTGGTCTTATCCTCAGTGCTGCCGAGCTTCGTCACGTGATGACCAATCTCGGGGAGAAGCTGACGGATGAAGAGGTCGATGAAATGATACGAGAAGCAGACATAGATGGGGATGGACAAGTCAACTTTGAAGGTAAAGTTTAGGCTGCAGTGTGCACGTGGTTTTCTTTGCCGAAACAATTGAGAAAGTCTGATTCACACTTCGAAAAAAAACCCAGTCTTTAAGAATGACAGCTAAAATGTACTTGATTGTCTCTTTGGTTCCAGAGTTTGTAACGATGATGACATCAAAATGAAGTCCCTCCCTCCCTGCACCTTACCATCATACCTTCTTGTCTCCATTCACTTTGTCTTCTTGTGTACGACCAACTGATGAAAAGATGCTTCGAGGTCACGTGTGTGTCTTAAAAAACAGTCCCCGCTCCTCGAACGACTTGATGGACAACATCAACAGAGGGCGTGTTTTTTTTTTGCCAAGGCTGGCCGCTTGTGGCGTCGCACAATGCCAAGACGAGGCAGTCATGACCGACAGCAATCTGCGCAACACGATCGTGGTCGATAGCATGTGTGAACTCGATTGGATTGCTTCATAGGTTCCTTTACGTTGCGTCATCGGCCATTACAAAAGTTTGGTTATTTGTTCTGCCTGAGAAACGACTTCGGTGTGATTCGATGTAAATGAGTTTGGAGTAGAAACAGCCGGGTGGAGTATATTTTATACAAACCGACCTAGTTAACCCAAAGGAAGTCACGAAGAAGTATATATTAATGTCGTTATTTATTGATTCTAATTTCGGTAGTCATCGGCGTTTCGGCCGTGAGTATGAAAATCTGCACAAAATAAGTATGCCACAGTATAACTTAGAAAAAAGACTTTGTTGGACTTGTTAATGACTGGATTTGCTTATAATTGTACTGTACACTGAGCAAACCAGTGACAATGTGTAGTTGATGCCATGCTTTCGACATGGAGTCGTTTTTGTAAATAAAAGAAAATGCTTTTTCCCCGCCGGACGTCACATGGCTGATGTCATTTGAACACCCACATTAATGGGCCTGATCCGTCAGTTGGGAATTTCCAGTGAAAAAGGAAAATGACGCCAAGACAGAAACTTCGGAATATCCCTTCAAAACTTTGTCATCCACGGTGTAGTTCGTTGGCATACGGGAAATCAGAATGTATTCCATTTTGACAAATTTCAAAACGAAATAGGATTACAAATTACTACCGAATCACATTATCTCTGTGTGAGCATCATTTACCAAAATATGGGTGTTAGAATGACAGCAGATAACGGAAAGGTTTGCCTGTGTAAATAATTAACCGGACGCCAAATGTGGAAACTGAAACTTCAATACTGACACCATACATCCTCGAGTTCTTTGTGCGATTTCTCGAATGAAAAACATACTACATCTGTTTGCTTCTGCAATGCATTGCCTGAACTTTGAATGGGAAAGCAAAAAAAAAAAAAAAAAAAAAAAAAAGGACTGGGTGAAAGTATTCCGAACGCTGAAACATATTCTATAAAACCAGTATAAATGTTTCCCATTAAAAGTGTCAGAATCTCTGCATTATTTCCAAAGAAAGTAGTTTCCATTATTGTGTCTAGTACACACACTGAATGTTTCTGCACACTTTCATTGTAAATTGGTACCCTGCACAAGGGGTTTTAATATACTAAGTCTTGTTTTTCTGATGTTACCTCGCGTGTTTGGTGTTTTTACGCGATTTCTAATTAAAACTTTGGAAACAAAGCTTTGCATCTTCGTCGATTGACTTTTATTTGCCAAGCCGAGAGTTGTGCGTCTTATTGGAAAACCTAAACTAGATGGTTTTTGAGTTAATTTTGTCTGGGGGAGGGGGTCGAGGGGTTCGAACGAACCCCCCACTCGCGTCTGTGTTCTACTTGTTGGTGGTATTTTGTGTGTGTGTACTGAATATTTTAAATATACCGTAATATTCGGCATACAAGCCACGGCTTATAGTAATATGTTGATTCTCAAGCTCAAGGTGACCACGATTCTGCCTATTAATGAGTCAATCTCGAGTCAGTTGAAGCGTCAGGAAGTTTCGGCAAATATACACATTTCAATTGTTTCGAAGGGTTTGAAATCAATGTATATTTTTGTTAAGTTTATTCAATATTGCAAACTACAGTGTACAAGTCTTACATGCAACCTTTGGTTCGCGACAGACATGCAACTTTTCAATGTTGTATTTCAAAGCTCATTGTGATAGGCCTTTGTATAAAAAAATGTGTTCACAGTGCCAAAAGTTCTACTTTTTGCTTTGACAAACCCCCCTGCAGTCTTTGGTCAGGCAACGGGCCTGAACTGGCTGTCGTTACCAGACCTAAAGCGGCCCACATCACCTGTATACCCGACACAAAGGTGCTATGCCTCCCCAAGGAAATCTGGGACTTTATATTCGGGATAGACGCTTTTTTGAGTGAAATAATCAATGTTACACAAGTTAGGCAAGTGAAAGGTTCGATGACTCTACTATCGCCAATTATGGTAATGGTAGGAGAGACGATCCCTAGAGTTACTCGGACTACGCACCTCATGGAAGTACATTATTGTGTAGAAAATAAAGTGAAGTAAAGTAGGCCTAGGTGAAGATATCCGTTTTGAGTAGAAGCACCCCCTCCTCGGTTGAAAAGAACCATGTTTGTCGGGAGTGCTCATTTTGTTGATAACGATGCGAAGCGCATGCAATTCTGACCGAAGGAGCCAGCGTTGTTCAGAAAATTGCGCCCTCTCTTGGTCCAGCTCAGGAAAGTTGGCTGGGATAGCAAGCCACGCGCCTCCATTTTTAGTTGCCGTACACCCCTCAATCACACCGAAGGCCACCTCGTCTTTTCTGAGCAAAATCTATCCTCTGAAGGCGTATTGTATTTGCGGTATTATTATTTTTGACAAAAAGCAACGCATTAAAATCACGTTTAAACTACACTTTGAAAATACAATGAGAGTTTAATTAATCCACGAATGGACACCTGCCAATTCTAGGGCTTTCATTCATAATTGTGCCCGCCTATGCACTGGTTATAGGTAGAAATCTGGATTACTAAACTTGGGTTTATATAAGTGAAATGATTTTTGCTTTCTGTTCACCAAAGTTCTTGCGAAACTTTACGGCCACTCCCAAGAAGGTGTTGCATCACGCCGTCTTCATGCTCCCTTCATGGTCAGCATTTGTGTTCACTTTCAGAAGTTTTTGAGAAATGACATGTACATTTTGGTAGTAGTATTCTATTTGAGTTCGAAAAGCGATATACTTGACTAAGTAATTGTGATTTTTGGCTTGCCATTTTTGCACGCGAATACCGATATTAAACACAACAACATTACAACATTCAGTTCCAGTCAGATCAAAATTAAATGTAACATTGGTTACTCGTGGGGGGTGGGAACTGAATTGGCAATACGCCGTAATATACAGAGGTTGTATGCAGCTTTTGCTGCGAGAATGGGGTAAAACCAAAAGCTTTACTGGTTTGACATCCATGCATTGGATTCTCGATGCCATTATCTGTTGTTGAGGTTGTCGGTATCAGGAATCGTTTGCTTTGAGTCATCATTAATTTTTCGTGCGTGTATTTTTTGGGCAGACCTGTCTCGTTGGTGATAGATCAACCATTGACATGAAAGAGCGGCAGTTGCAACACATCCTTTGACCCAAGAAGATTAAAACAGTAAATTGTGGGACATATCCTTTGTGAGAATTCCTTTTTGACAATATCAAGTTATTCTGCAATTGAAAGCAAACGAAATTTGGTAATTTTGACAATGAAAATGTATTTTCATCAATAAAACAAGGAGGCTAGTGGTACTCGAATGTGCCACCCCCGGCTCTGTTACTGCTGAACCATAAAAATCACTAGATACGCTACTGCTTTATATCGAGATCACTTTTAATAGAAGAAATGTAACCCGAACACGGTTGGGATCCCTTTTATTGTCGAAAATGAAGGAAATTAAGATTATAAATGGAGTAAATCAGCACCAACCCTTTAGCTCACTGTATTGAAGCCTAGAAAATTGCCTCGTGGGTTCTGCGCCAAGGAAATGGAAAAAATGTGGTGAAGGAAAAAATCCAAAAGTTATGCGGTGCTGACCAAGCATTCAGGCGCACGGACTCCTGAAATTCGCAAGGAATCGCAGATACCGGCTTCCATATAGGACTCTTCTGAGTCTCGGCCCACCACACTTCCTCCCTGCCCATCCATTTAACCCCAAAAGGGTTCGA